AGTATTTTACTGATTTCTTTGTTACTTGATAGTTTTATGTTGTCGACCGTAAATTTGTTGGAATCAAGGCATAGTTTCTTCTAGTTGTAATGAATTAAATTAAGTTTTCTCTCAGCAAGACTGCTTATATTTTGTTGTTTACCTTGTTTATGACCAGTAATCTGTTCTTTTCCAATTGTCAGAGATCATATGCATTGTCAACAGTAGAGGGTTACACTGGTTATGGAGCTGAACAAGGTGAAAAGGTATGTGATGCTCTTCATTTGTTGTTAGCCCCTGTTTGGTACACATTCTTTCAAAACTCATTTTTAACCACACATTCTTCAATAAAATAATATTTTCCATCACATCAATAATTTTTCCTTACTTTTTAACCACATATTTTTCATTATATCACTATTTGAAATACATTCTTTCCTCAATAATATCCATCAAACACACCCTTAATTTCTCTTATATTTGTGCTTGGCTTTAATGATGCATTTGGATATTTATGCTTGCTGTCTGGCATATTTCTTCCTCTTCCTCTACCTCTACCTTTATAACTTTTCTTCTATGTTTATTCCTTGGTTGAGAAATGTCTTAATGCAAATGAAAGTTCAATATTGTCATATCTCTGATAACAAATGGTAATGGTAGCACCTGTTGATTTGTACAGCAATTGAGAGCTTCCATCGCCAAAACCTACTATGAGAACCTTGGCATAGAAGAAGATGATATATTCGTATCAGATGGTGCAAAAAGTGACATATCTCGCCTTCAGGTATGAATTTCTTTTGCATGTCTCATATACTTGTACTGTGCCAATTCATTACTTGAAATTTGATAGCACCACAAACATTGCGCCCTGTCTACTGTAGTATTGATGTACTGTTTTTTACACTGTTTCTCCTTTCTCTTTGCAGGTGCTTTTTGGGTCTAAAGTGACCATGGCCGTGCAAGACCCTTCATATCCGGTAAATATATCATGTTTACATATGGTCAAATCAAAGTAAACTTTCCATAAAATCCTCATTCTGCTTGCATTTACTCTCTCTCGCCTGTCTGGCTGTATAACACAGTGTTAAAATGCAAAATCTAGTTAACATTGACGATGGTTCCTTCTAAGTAGATCCACCCAATTATTATTGTAGCTTCTAGATGAATTATTAATGATTAAGTAGTTTATATTTTATGATTCAACTTGCTGATCTTTTAAGAGCTAAGTGAGCAAGCCTTCACACTCCTTATCAAAGCACAATTTATGTACGTTACAACTGATGTGCGTGTTAGAAATTTTTTGGCTGAAAGATATTATTATGTGTTTCTGATTATTTAGCTGGTAATCAAAAGATAAAATGGTGTCATGGGAGTGGAAGGAGCATAATTTTAGTAAACTTTTTTCGAAAATTTTGATCTGCTTCTTGTTATATCTGAAGATTCTATTTAAAATAAAAAGGGATAGACCTTCCTTGGGAAAACAGCTGTTTGAGAACTTAGGCTATTGCGCTGAAAAATATTTTGGGTTAAAGAAGAGGAAAACAGATATATTTGCACACCTAAAAAGCTTTGCTCTTTTTCTTTGCCCTTTCTAAATTCTTGTAACATATAGATTCTTGGTTTTGTATTGTAGGCTTATGTGGATTCCAGTGTTATTTTGGGTCAGACTGGGCAGTTTCAGAAAGATGTTGAGAAGTATGGAAATATAGAATATATGAAGTGTACTCCAGAAAATGGTTTCTTTCCAGACTTATCTGCGGTTCGTCGGACCGACATCATATTTTTCTGTTCACCAAATAACCCAACAGGTTATGCTGCTTCAAGAGAGCAATTGACTAGATTGGTAGAATTCGCTAAAGAAAATGGGTCAATCATAGTCTATGATTCTGCTTATGCCATGTACGTTTCAGATGATAACCCGAGGTCCATTTTTGAGATTCCAGGAGCCAAAGAGGTAAGTCTGGAATTTCGCCTAAATCTTGCTCTAGTTTTTGGTGTTATCTAGTTTTCAATTCTGCTATCGTTAATTTAATGGAACCACAGATAATGACAGCTGAATTGAGTACTTAAACTTTGGTCAATCCGTTTCATCTAGTTACTCTTTCCCTTTCATTTTGTTTCATGACCATTTGTACAGGGGTTCCTACTAGGAATAATTTCTTTTAGTGTTTCTTCAGCTTATGATAAAAACTGTTGGGTCTGTCCCCATTTCATCTGATATAGAACTCGAAAAATAATTGTCTAGCGAAGCTATTTTTTTGTGCTTCTATTATTTCGTAGTATGTGAACAAAAGAATAGATGATGTTAGATGAGTTGATGCTAATTTGCATAGTCTAATTCTATGCAGAATGTGTTTTTTTCAGCAGTTACTTTATATGAATCATTTTCAGGATAGTAGTATTATGCTTTATCTTTCTCTTCCATAGTTCAAATCTAAATATTTAACATATTGGCCTTACAGGTTTCAATGGAAGTTTCATCATTTTCCAAGTATGCCGGGTTCACTGGAGTCCGTTTAGGTTGGACTGCAATTCCAAAAGAGCTTTTATATTCTGATGGATTCCCCGTTGCCAAGGACTTCAACCGCATTGTCTGCACTTGTTTTAATGGTGCATCTAATATTGCTCAAGCTGGTGGTTTGGCTTGTGTTTCACCTGAAGGCATCAAGGTTAGTCTTTGTTTTCCAGAATTTTTTTCCCAGTCAACTGCATTCTTGGGGTATAAGACTAAACAATTTACATAAGAATTTCAAGAGCAAAATTAAAGAGAAGAAAATGGTTATCAAGGATTGAAATCACCCAATGTTTTGACTGATCAAACAAGAGTTGCCATGTGCAGGCCATGCACGAGGTGGTTGGTTTCTACAAGGAAAACACTGATATCATAGTCGAGACATTCAATTCGCTTGGTTTTAAGGTTTACGGAGGAAAAAATGCACCATACGTGTGGATCCACTTTCCCGGCCAAAGCTCATGGGAAGTGTTCAGCGAGATTCTTGAGAAAACCCATGTTGTCACCACTCCTGGCAGTGGTTTTGGACCTGGTGGTGAAGGTTTCATTAGGGTCAGTGCCTTTGGACACAGGGAAAATGTATTGGAAGCCTGTAGAAGATTCAAGCAACTGTACAAGTAGCTGGTTCAATCCAGTTGTACAATGTTCAATCAATAATTGACGGCAGGTTTATGCAACTTTTGAAATGCTAAATTGGGGTTCATATTTCATGTTGTCAAGAAATGCTTATGCTACTGGTTTTGCTTTTGAAGCTAAATTTGTCTTTATTTAAATTGACTATAAGTAAGGTCCTTCATGTTCTTGCAAATTATAGCAATAATGGGAAATAATAGGCAGCTCAAACGACTTAAATACTTTAGACAATTGTTGAGAGGTTTTTTCAAAATAATGCTAGTAACTTAATCGAGCATATGATCAAAGGCAGAAATTGTCGTTGACAATATTAATGTCGACAATTTAAATGGATAGCATACATAGATGATTCGGACAAAATTAGCAACAAATCATCAGTGATCAACGACACCTTGTGGATGCCTGTGATTGTTACGATGACAACGTTGTTGGCAATATTGTTTGTAATAACTTATGGTACTTTGGTCATTGGTCAACGAGAAATTGATTTTTAAGTTTTTATTTCTTTATTGCAATGTTATAAAATATTATATCTTTATAATATTGCCGATGAATAAATTAGTTTTTAATTTTTATTTTATTCCCAAAAATTCATTAGTTTTAGAATTTAAATTTTTTTTTGTTAGTTTTTATTTATTAACCAAAGTTGGTAGTTAAAATATTAAACTATTTGTGTTTATAATATTAATATATGAAGTGAGAAGCCGTTTGTAATTTTAAATTAATCACTTAATTTTTACGCTACAATAATAGGACTCCTTGTCCTGTTGTCCATTAACAAGTGAACGTAACAAGTTATCCAGGTAGGACTGTAACGGCTATATACAGTCAGCATCAAATGTTTAAAAATCTTCCTCTTCTTTAGCTGTGATGTCTCTTCAACAAACAAACGCTCCATTCTCACTCACTTTGCACCACATTTTCCATTGATAGCTGGAGAAACTCAAAATCAATTAGTTAAAATGGCAGAATTTCTGGATCCATCTCAATTATCATCATCGGAAAATGGAGATTCCACAGACACTTTCGTAGTCATGGAAGATGATGAGGGCGAAGCTGAGGAATTTTACGAGAAAATCGAGGCCCCAAAGTTCGTAGATTTTACTGTCCCCAACCATTATTGCCCTGATGATCGCTACTGGTTTTGCCAACGCATAGGTCAGTTTTAATGCCCCAATTTATTTTCTAATATGTTTGATTATTTGAACTGATTGAAATTCTGGTTTTTGTGCTTGCTGCATTTTTTTTCAATATTTAATAGTTAGCTTTGATTTATGATCTGAAGTGAGATATAACAAATAATAAATTTAAACAATTTATTTATGGTTAAAAATTCACATTGATGATGGGAATTAATATCATAATCTTTATAATTAGTACGTCTGAAATGTCATCCGGATTTAACCTTAACTTTTTGTATGGTAAATATTATATTTAAAGGTCTTACAGCATGTCAAGTAAGCAGTATTGAAGAGGATGGACAGCACTATGAACAAGATTTTAACTACTTTACTATATACCAACGGGTTATGCTACATGTACATCCAATTTTTTACATAATCTTTTACCTACACTCACAATAGAGTGTGGAGATCACACATTTGAGATTTTTTTATTCACTCGGGCCCCGCGTGCATGTGAGAGGGTGGCACATTTTCGGTAACCCCCATTCGGTACAAATAAAATTATCCTATACAGGGGCGGACCTACTTGAGGACTAGTGGGGTCCGCCATACCCACTCAATTTTCAGATTTCCCGATTTTTCTTCAGGTTTTCAAAATTTTTTTGTCCAGGTTTTTAGATTTTTTTTCTCAAGGTTTTTTGGTTTCGCCCACACTGAACTTCCTTCCTGGACCGGCCCCTGATCCTATACCAAATATGATGATGTTTGGAGAAATTTTCTAAGACCTATATTTTCCTATTTTGGCTGTCTTTCAGGATGTGACCAACAGCACGAGGAAGAAATGGATTCTGAAACAATCTATAAGAATTTTGTTCTTCGGGTTAGTCTCCTTTGATGATTTCTATGCTCAAATGGCTATTTCTTTTCGGAAGAGAGACAAGTTTTTTACTTCTTGTTCATGCAGGTAATGGCAGCTAGGAGTCCAAATGTAAGACTTCGAAAAGCACTCAACAAAAGTGCAACAAGGTAAATCATTGTGAATTTTAACAGAGTGACGAAATAAAATTCTATAGCCGACTCCAAATGTAGTAATTGTCAAAGATATAGTTGCTTTATATTTTCTTGTAGATAGTTTTCGGGTAGTTGTAAAGGATCTAGATGTTTTAAATCTTTTTTGAAACCTAGCAATGAATCGAGCATGATGATAAAAAAGAATTCATGTAACCTAAATGCAATAACTGTCAAGGATCTAATTATTCCTAATCTTAATGTAGATCAAAAAATGAATTGACGAAGTGACGAAAATGGAGTTCATGAAGTCGAATCTAAATTTCTTTCGAAATTTGTAGTTTGTTGTGGTTAATTGGTGGACATGGTGTAATCTGCTTATGACTTGACACAAATTAATTTTACTTCACAGTTCAAAATGCCCACACTCAGCTCCTCCAAAATCTTCCAAGTCAAGATTAGCAGTTATTTCCTCAATTTCTCAGAAGATCACAGAGGATAAGAAAAAGGTTTTTAGGCCCCTTCTGAAGCCTGACTCTACACCGACCACCACCAAGGCGAAGCCAGTAGCTGCCAAGTATCTAACAACTCCAAGGAACAAATATGGCCCCTCAAAACAGAACTCCTTTAGGAGTGTTCGAAACCCGAAAACAACAGCCATTGAAGTCCCGAAAAATCAAATGGTAGCAAAGGCTCTCATCTTTCACTCTCCCAAGAAATTCATTAAGGTAAAGACTAGTGTTGAACTGCGTACACACTTGACAAAATTACGCGAAAGAACGAAAAGGGTCGAGATCATGAGTGAAAGGAAGCAGGTCTTGGTTTATTCTAGTAAATCGTCGAATAAATCTCAAAACCAAGAAGCTAAATCTGTCAGATCTACTAAGGGTAAGGGCAAAGTGCAGTTATCAAAACCATCAACCTCCAAGGAATTGGAGGGAAATGGTTGCAGTAATTTGGATATCAATGCAAAATCAAGAAGCTGTACTACCTCGGATATTTCGAGGATCCAGAATATTAACAATGACAAACAGCATACGATGGATTCAGCAGTATCTGCACTGTTTGAACAACAAAAATCTACAATTGATACCTGTCTGACAGCAGCACCATTAACGAAAATTTCAGATTCAGCGTTATCAGATGACTCAGGAGGTGAAGCGAACAACGGACTGCTGATTGCTGAAGAGAATAATCTGAACCTTCAAGCTCCAAATGGAGAGGAGAACAGCAACAATAGACACGAACAGTTTATGACAACAGAGACTGAACTGACTGAAAATGATGATAAAGAAAATGCTGCAGCTTCTGATCAGAACAGGTTTGAGGGCTGTGTGTATTTAGCTTATCTACTTACTGATTTGTCTATAGTGTGGTATTGAATAGTTTTACATTGTTTACAGAGCTCATGATCATAATCATAATCAGAAGCTGAAGGGAAAAATTCTTGGCTTTCAGGATACTTATGGAAAAGTTCACAAGGTTTCGGTTTTCTTTTTTCACAGTCCATTTTGAATGTCCTAGTTTTTTCCATATTCCATTCCAGTTTCTGATGGCTGTGTATTGACGACATAGATTGCTCAGGTGAAGGATAAATCTTTTGGAACTGTTGCTCCAGTGACAAAGTTCAAGAAACCGAAGCCTACAACCCCAAAACCTTTTCGACTAAGAACTGATGTAAATAACTCTATGACCACTTAATTTTGTGAAAAAGAACTGTATCGTTATGGATAAATCTAACAAATTTTCAATTTCAGGAAAGAGGGATTCTCAAAGAAGCTAATTTGGAGAGAAAAAATAATATACTAGCTCCTAAGAATGAAAGTGCAGTTTCTACAACACTAGGTACAAATTTGCACAGAAAGCAAGGGAATGATCAAGTGAGTATCCTTTTTTTTTTTCTCGAAGTAAGATGTTTTTGTCTTCTAATTTGCAAGTCTTCTTGTGTAATCATGTCAGAGAAATGAAAACCATCCTGAACAACATAACAAATGCAACGATGATATGCATGAAGCCAGAGAAGAAGAAGCAGAGAAAATTCGACAAAATGATTCAAAAGTACGTCTATTTTCAGAGGTTTTCTTCTTCCGTTCTAAAATTCAAATATGCAAAGTAATTCAAACATTCGCTCTATTATATGTTCTACAGAAAGTGAGATTCAAAACAGCAGCAGCTATAACACCACAAAGACTTAACCTTTCTAAACATCAAGAGCCAAGACCTAGGACTTCCCCACGCGAAGGCAAGACAATCCAAAGCTTAAAAAACTTCGGGAATCTGCAGAAACAGCAGGTTCAGCATCAAGGGTGAGTGAGAATTCTGTGTCCTTGACTTGAAGGAATTATATTTTTAGAATAACATGAAGAATCTCAATTTTTACAGCCTTACTAAAACGAGGAAGATGATTTCATATTCGACAACTAGTCGACCACTTGAGGTGATATATGAAACTTTGGAACCCAAAAAAGGAAGAAACCTGACTGCTCATGGTGGTAGTACCACCGGTACAGCTTCTGGTGCTTCCCGGTCATCATCACAGGGAAGAAGACCTGTGAATATTGCAAAGGCGCCAAACATCAATAGCCCTCAAGTGCAAAGAAATTGTCGTAGGATACTTACGAGATTGCCATCATAAGATCAAAGAGGTCTACAATCTTCTTGTTCAATTATGTATTAATTAAGTTTTTTCTTCTTGTTTCGTTGTATGTTTGTCCTCCACATTTTCATGGTTCAGTTTCTTCAGAAATTTCTATTGAAATGTGTAACAAGTTGTATCAAAATATTCATGTATTGTAAAATTAAAATATATCAACTTTTTTTTTCATTTCGAACAAGTCAAGGTTTCTGCACGATTCGTTCTGTGAGCTGGCTGCTTTTGCGCCCGAGTAGCAATGCTTGTGGCCTGCCCTGTGCAAAAGCTTTACATCTCTAACCTGGTGCGAGCCTATTAGTGAATATACAGAAAAAAGAGTACTTCAACTGTAAAAGAACACCAAAGTTCAAGTACTCAAACATTTAACTTCAACATGTTTACAAAACAGAATTGAGAGGATGCCCCCCTAATAAGTCGTCAACATCTTGCCATGGATTACAAACTCAATAAACGGGAAATAGACTATAGTAGGTTCACAATACTGGATCTAAGATTGGGAAAAAAAGGCTGGAAATTTTAGCTTTACTTTTCCTTGATGATGTCTTTCAATTTATTGGTTGCAGCAACCAGTTTTTCTGATATCTCTGAACGAAAAGAATGAATCAATGTAAAAACATTACTTGCATTTCCTTGTCATCTGATTTTAACCTATTGACAGGCTTTAACGAAACATCCCCTCTCACTTTTGGGAATAAGATCTCTAAATGGCTCCCAGGCAGCAATAGAAAAGAAATGAGCACTTAACTACTTAGATACGAAACTCCATAAATGTCCAATAAGCAAAAAAGAAAATACACAATCAGGTTACTCAATAATAACTTATTTCTACGCAATTATTCAAATAACAAAAATTTTCATTACCAAACAACAGTCTGGTAGAATTTAAGATATAAAATGTAACTATACAGACTACGAGCATGTTTGGATCTTACTTCAAGGTAACTCTTACCTTAGTGTCAAAATAACTTGCTTATTTTTAAATTTGACCAATAAAAAATTATCTATTTTAAAAGTTACTTATTTACTAGTAAACTTTTAAAGCTTAGCCAAACATGCTCACAAGGGATAAGTCATCCTCAACTGCGCTAGGAATAATAAAAATAAACACTACTTTGTATACATTGAAAATCCATGAACATGGATTTAGTCCAGGTATGTCGAAATTACATGTTAGGTGTACTCAAAATGACTTACCACCTTTAGCTTCTTACGAATTCGTCGACTTAATTACAGATTTAAGAACCATTCTAAGCTGCTTGCGACTTATGGGTTACCTTTTTCTCGACTTAAATACGGATTTAACAACCACACTTTGAGCTGATTTGAACAAAGGAGACAGAGAGAATTCCAGATTAATAGCTAGTTAAATTGTCATTAGCATTGGGTGTATTATGGTGATTTAATAGAATCCCAGATTGTGTAGGCTTCCATCTATAATGATGCCACAATAGGTCCCAATACGCCCCCTCAAGATGTGCTATAAATGTTTTTGACACACATCTTGGACATCAAAGGATTGAAAGCAGCAGCTGGAAGGGCTTTTGTGAAATCATCTGCAAGCTGAAACTTGGAACGAACAGGAAGAAGCTTTATGATGCTGGCAGTGATTTTATCTCGAATGAAATGGCAATCAATTTCGATATGCTTAGTCCGTTCATGGAATACCGGATTGGTGGCTATCTGAATGGCAGCCTGATTGTCACAGTAGATGGTAGCAGGTGAGACGGCAGGAACCCCAAAATCAGCCAATAGCTGATGAATCCAAAGAATCTCACTAACAGTTGCAGCAATGGCCCTGTACTCCGCTTCAACAGAAGAACGAGAAATAGTTTGCTGCCTTTTTGACTTCCAAGACACCATAGAATCACCAATAAAAACACAGAAACCTGTAGTGGATTTCCTTGTATCAACGCACGACCCCCAGTCGGCATCAGAAAAAGCACGAACTGTTAAAGGCGTTGGATACAGATGCTGTGATGAGAAAAAAATTCCCTGGCCAGGATTTCGTTTGAGATACCTTAAGAGATGATGAATTGCCTTCAAGTGTGGCAATCTAGGCTGTGCAGAAAACTGGCTCAATTTATGAACTGCAAAAGCAATATCCGGGCGTGATAATGTCAAGTATATGAGCTTGCCAATCAGCCTGCGATATACAGTGGGATCAGGTAACAAATCACCTTCACGGATGCTAAGAACTGACTTCATTTCCATAGGACTAGTTACAGATTTACAATCTAAATAATTTGCATCTTCCAGCAACTGCAAAGTATATTGCCTCTGAGAAATAACAATCCCTGAAGCTGAACGTGCAATCTCTATTCCCAAAAAATATTTTAAATGTCCCAAATCCTTGAGCTTGAAATGAGACTGCAAGAAAGCCTTTAAGGAAGCAATCATCTGCAGATTTGGACCAGTGATAACAATGTCGTCGACATACACTATCAAAGCCAGGAAGTTGACACCAGTCCCTCTAGTGAAGAGGGAATAATCAGCTTTAGACTGAGTGAAGCCAAACTGAATCAGAGAAGAAGTGAATTTTTCATTCCATTGGCGGGAGGCTTGTTTGAGTCCATAGATAGATTTATGTAACTTGCAAACCATCTTCACCCCTATCTTGAAAGACGTTAGAGCCTCATATCCAAGAGGGAGATCCATGTAGACATCCTCAAATAGGTCCCCATTTAGAAACGCATTATTTACATCCAACTGAAAAAGGTGCTAATTCTGATGAGCAGCCAGAGTAAGCAGCACCTTGATGGTCACATTCTTTGCTTCTGGAGAGAAGGTATCAAAATAATCCAAGCCCTCCCGTTGTGTGTAGCCCTTTGCAACCAGGCGAGCTTTATGCCTTTCAAGTGAACTATCAAATTTATACTTGTTTTTGTAAATCCAACGACACCCAACTGAGTGCTTGCTAGGAGGTAAAGGTACCACAGACCAGGAGCGATTAAGCTCCATGGCATCCAACTCGAGTTTCATAGCATCACGCCATTGTGGAAGTTTAATAGCCTGATGGAAATACTGAGGTTCAAATTGAACTGAAATGTTTAAAATAAGGTTTCTGTAAGGTGCAGACAGATTTTGGTAAGTGATGAAATGGCTGATGTGATATGGGGAGTGAAGGTTAGGATTATCAGAATTAGTGAGTAAGTTACAGTGATAATCAAGAAGGTATTTTGGTGGTCTAGAGGCTCTTTGGGTTTTTCGAATATCTTGAGAAGTAGACCTAGATGCAGGAGAAGAAGAAGGAGTATCAGATGGAACTGGGGGTGAAGAAGGATGTACCCCAGCAAAAGGTTGTTCAATATCAGAGGAAGGGAGGACAGTGGGAGGTGAAACATTGCTGTGGTGAATAACAGAAGAGGGTGAAGGTATATCCTCTCCTTCATGAATGCTAGAAGGTAGAGGTAAAACAATATCAGGGAAGGGATCCAGCAACCCCTCAGAAGCAGTAATGGTGTGAAATGGAAAAATCTCCTCATGGAATACAATATCTCTAGACACAAAAATCCGTCTTGATTCAATGTCAAGCAATTTATACCCTTTGATTCTTGATGGGTAACCCAGAAAAACACATAATTAATTAAGTTTTTTCTTCTTGTTCCGTTGTATGTTTGTCCTCCACTTTTTCATGGTTCAGTTTCTTCAGAAATTTCTGTTGAAATGCATAACAAGTTGTATCAAAATGTTCATGTATTGTAAAATTAAAATATATCAACGATTTTCTTCATTTCGAACAAGTCAAGGTTTTTGCACGATTCGTGCTGTGAGCCGGCTGCTTTTGTTCCCGTGTAGCAATGGTTGTGGCCTGCCCTGTGCACGAGCTTTACATCTCTAACCTGGTGCAAGCCTATTAGTGAAGCAATTTATACCCTTTGATTCCTGATGGGTAACCCAGAAAAACACATAACTTCGCACGTGGCTGGAACTTGTCCCTATGTGACCTGAGAGTAGATGCAAAGACCAAACAACCAAAAACTCTCATCATCGAGTAATCAGCACTGCAGCCATGTAAGACCTCATAAGGGGTTTTATGTCTAAGTAAAGGGGATGGTGTCCTGTTGATAAGATAGGCTGCAGTCAAAATGCACTCAGTCCAATAAGGCACTGAAATTCTGGACTGAAAATATAGGGCACGAGCCACATTTAACAGATGTTGGTGTTTACGGTCAACCACCGAATTTTGCTGAGGAGTTTCAACGCAACTAAATTGATGTACTACCCCTTTTTCAGCAAAAAATTCCCTGAAGGATAATTCCTGTGCATTGTCTGATCTGAACTTTTTGATTGTGGTATTAAATTGGTTATTAACCATGTTAAAAAATCGATGCACAGCATTCACAGCATCTGATTTTTGTTTTAACAAGTATATCCAAGTAAATCTAGAACAATCATCCACCAATGTTAAGAAAAACCTATGTCCTGAATAAGAAGGTATATGGTACGGCCCCCATACATCACAATGCAATAGATCAAAAGGTTTGCCAGATATCTTGTTATTGGACTCAAACGATAACCTTCTTTGTTTCGCAATAGGACAAATATAACAAGGGAGTTGTTTATTCAATCTGGAAATATCACAACCTACTTGATCTTTCAAAGCACTTAATCTTTTAAAAGACAAATGGCCAAGTCTATTATGCCATACATGAGTAGAAACACTACCAACAAAAACCACTGAAACTGAATTAATCTCCCTGACATTAAGAACATATAAGTCTTGAACTTTGTTACCCCTGCCAATCATCTTCCTGGTGGCTGCTTCCTGAATGACGAAATGATCATGAGAGAAGCTTAAAGTGAGCTGAGATTCAACAGTCAACGCACTTACAAACAGAAGATTGAATTTGAACTGTGGAACAAATAACACATTATGCAGCAATATAGATGGACTAAGTCTGATATCTCCACACAAACTGACTGAGATTCGTGTGTGGTTAGGCAATATGATACTTGCATTATCAACTTTCCTCAATTTCTCA